GCCCATCTCATTCTTCTCGACTTAATCACCCTGACAATACTGGGTGAGCAGTACAGATTTTTAAGCTCATCATTATGCAGTTTTCTCCATGCCCCATCGTCTTCCCTCTTAGGCCCAAATATCCTCCTCAACACCCGATTCTCCAACACCTGCAATCTGTGTTCCTCCCTTTGAGTGAGAGACCATGTTTCGCACCCATACAAAACAACAGGCAAGATTATTGTTTTGTATACTTTAATTTTCAGGTTCTTAGAAATCAGACGGGAAGACAAAATATTTTGAACTGAGAAGTAGCAAGCATTTCAAGAATTTAATCTCCTCCTAACTTCCTCTTCAGTGTCATTTTGATTTGTTATTGTTGTTCCCAGATATTTGAACTTTGTGACACTTTCAAAGGATTTATTAGCTACCCTAAGATAATTCTGCCCTCCTGTCTGCTGACGATGAGATACTAACATGTTCTTAGTTTTTTCTGAATTTACTTCTAGCCCCACCTGTCTACTAGCCTCTAGTAAAACCTCTGCGTTCCTCTTATTGTATTTATATCGTCATCCAATATATTAACATCAAAAACAATTAATTACAATAATACAATTATATATAACAAAATAATTAGAACAAAAAAAATAAAATACAATAAAAACTGAACAATGCATCAAACAGCATCTGCAGATTCTTCACCGGATGCCAGCGAAAAGACTAAGGACTGATCTCTTCTCCTGAAACAAGAGATGAAAATTACATCAAACACTTGTTTTATAAATTTCTACAAATGTAACCTTAAAATTGTTAATATTACAAGATACATGTTTCCCTCCCACAATGAATGAGTTGAAAAACTTACTTTCTGTGAATGAGCTTTGCAGAAGACTTTCCAAAAGCAAAGAGTCTCATCCCCAGCGGCGGTTATGATGGTTTCTCCATCAGAAGACATCAACAGATACGGCACTCTGTTTGAATAATGGCCAGTGCGATTTGAAACGTGTGACAGGTTTGGATATTTCCAAATGCGTATCTGGTTTTGGGAGTTACCGTGGGTGCTACCCTACAACAAACAAATTTCCATAAGAAATGTAATGAAAAGTAACAATCTGGAATAACATCCACACCAAATTCCATGAAAATTTGTCAGCCAATCACGTTTAACAGGTAATTATGCAAACGATGTCACAGCCAATGACAGCGCAACAAGTAATGACATCATCAGTTACTGCAGAGAATTAGGGATATTGACATCACTGTAGATCTTAATCCAGCTACCTCACAACTCGTAGCATATTAATGTCTCCAGGGATGATCTTTCAAGGCGCATGGCAACTTTGGGTAAGTCTAAACTCTCCTATTCAGGTGGGGGCAACTGCAGAGCAGATTCCATTACCCCAACCAAAAGTGTGCTTATTAAGAGGGGCCCTACAATTTAATGTGTGCTCTGAACCACAATAAGGGGCCTGGTATACTTCATTTTCCCAAGGTTTTATTTTTGGAAAATGTGAAGACTTCAGTTACTGAGAAGAATCTGAGAAATGTGGATGAATGAAAATTCTGTTATTTCTCCATAAACAACAAGTATTGACCTAAAGAAAACATATTTTATACTGCCAAAATTGAGTAAAGTAAGGAACTGCCCTGAGTGGAGACGGCTTCACAGTTACAATTTTATGGTTTCATTAACTGCATTTTTCATCCAAGTACAAATGTAGAAATTTTATAAATTATATCTGCAGCAAATGAAATTTCAAAATTAGGTTTGGGGGTGTTAAAATATTCACAACATAAATTTCAATTTAATCTTATAGGTTACAAACACTTCACTACCTGTACCAAATTAAAAATACAATTCCTTCCCCTATCAATGAGATCGTTCCAAGTACAAACTGCAGAGCACATCGACATGCAAGAAACTTACCAGTTCAGAGGAATGTTTAAGCCAAGCAAGATTACGGACTTGAAATCCAGTGTCCACAAACTGCTTTGGTTGTCCTGTGAGCGTGTTCTAGAAACGAATACACCGATCAGCTCCGCCTCCACCACTAGCCAAGAGTCCATGAAGGTGCGGGAACCATGCAATAGCTGTAAAATAAAATGTATTTGTGTATATTAAGAATTGTGTCCAAATGATCAGTTTGATACATCATGCTGCAGAGAATATTAAAATAAAGAAAGAGAATGAAGGAGGCAGAGATGAGAAAAAATGTGAAGAAATTTACTTTGCTGCAAATGCTGTGCAGAACAGTGAAATCAATGACATCCAAAGAATATGAGCACCATATTGGAGAAACCATGAACTTGTATCAGTTATATATGATAAACACAATGATTCATACCTTTCACTGAGTGTAAGTCTGCACAGGTGAGAGCAAATGCAGATTCCAAACATTGAGGCGATTGTCATTGCCACTGGAGGCCAGGCTCTGCTTGTCTGGATACCACTTCAAGCCGCAAACCTTTGAACAAAAGATACTTATAGTAATTGAGATTGATGACAATAACTTTAAAACACATTTTTCAGCTCTTAACTATAATAGCAAAATTTTATGTAAAGTTCTAACTATGGTGAAGACGTTGATGCTGTTCTTCAGGGTCGTGATGCACATTTTTCAGCTCTTAACTATAATAGCAAAATTTTATGTAAAGTTCTAACTATGGTGAAGACGTTGATGCTGTTCTTCAGGGTCGTGATGCAATGTGGAGATGAACTGTCTTTATCTTCAGAGCTGAAGATGGAGACTGCATGTACAGGTTTACACAAAAGAATAGTGCAACTGTGACTGGCGACTCATTTTTGGACATGTTGGAAAGCAGGTTGTTAACCCAACTGAATACCAATTATGATGATTACATTCTACAACTGGATGAAGCTCCCCCCCATTTTCACAGGAATGTATGAGTGCTTCTCAATCGTGTTTTTCCACAGCGCTGGATCGGATGAGTTTGATTAGCGTGTGGATGTGTGTCGTGTGACCCAGGTTGCAGACATTGAAGGATTGTAATTAACGCATGAGAAACTTGGACAATTGCCGCCGCTGACGGTGTATGTTGTGCCCGTGTAAGGTGAGAAATAAATTTTTTATTAACCTTTGAAACCGCACCATTCTTTTGTGTATGATCCTGTATTTCCAAAACTCTAGTATCTATGTGAGTCCACATGGTGTCACAATCCAGAAAAACAATGATAACTGTTTTGCAGTAATAACAAAATTATTAACACTTAAATGATTTTCTATTAACCTCTTGTTGATGGCCAACCAATCTTCTCTCTGTCACAAGACTAGGAGTTCTCACATCACATTGTAAGGTCAGTCCATCCTGACTGCCAGATGAACATAAATGTGTCCAATAATAAGAGTCAGTCCTAAATTATGTCAGAGGTGACTTGATGTGTTATCTGTTTGGTAACATTTCCTGGTCAGAATATGCAAATTCTTACCTATTATCTACAGCTGTTGCAGAATATGGCCATAATATTTCATTTATATAAAATTATGACATCATGGTACATCAGAATACATACAAATACATTTTTCTTTGCAAGTCTTCATGGATGGAGTAGCCTATATAAATAACTCCTTCGGAACAGGCCCCATCTCATACCCACCTTGAAAGTGTGTTACTGTAATGTTTGCAAACACTAAACACCCACAAGCCAAAGTTACACAGACAAATGCATGTATCCTGAAATAAATATGGCTAAATCTCTAAAATCTCTAAAAGACATACTACTAAAATTTTGGGCTTGGTCTCCCTCACTTGGCAGGCGGAGGACACAATTCTTCTCCACCTTCCTCCAGAAGGTTTGTAACAAGAAATCCAAATTCTCCAAACTTCTATTAATGCACAGAATGGATATAAAACATAAAATGAAAAGCAGAGAGAACCCACAGAAATGGGGGTAGCAGTTGACACTGATTCAAGATGGGTACAAGGAAGATTACTAGATGCAGAATTGCAGGAAAAACAAGAGGCCAAAATTGGGAAAAGTCAAAATGGGGACTTTAGCAACTTTCAGAATTCAGAACAGAAGTCCACAGACTTACTGGGCACAAAACAGGCCTGAGGAAAGTGAGATAATAAAGAGTCAAGTCTGACAAATAATATAGCCCTTTGCATTCCTGTGTTGCTCTATATGAAAGGGACCTTATTTTGCTTTAACTTCACATGCAAATTCTCAAGTCATATGTTAACTACAGTTCAATGAAACCTCCAATAATATGGTATAAAAAAGCACAGTATAGTACGGTGTTAAAGGGGAGGAGGCTATGAAAAGGCCATGAAATATTGACCACATTATAACAAAACCTGTTCGCCATTAAAAAAGTGTGTCATTTGTAAACCAACAATATGTCACATTGTAATGCAGTGACACATCAACAAAGGCTGAATCTACTTTATGCACTGCATGATAATTTTCCTATACAATTAATAATGCATTGATGCATAACTCATACTTTAAAGATTAACTATAAAAACAGCATTAATCAAATTCAAATTTAACAGAAATGCTTTTCAATTACCTAGGTAAAAATAATCTGTCCAATACTTACGTGCTCATTCCATGCAATTGAAGTTACAGAGGTGCCACCTCCAGATAAATCACACAAACTCCCAGCCGATTTGTGCTTGCAGACCAAGTTCCTAATCACACACTTAATACATTCACTGAAGACCAGTCAATAAGATTGAGGTAGAAGTCATCTCGGAGATAAGAGGCATCCAACATCTTCAACAGAAAAGACATAAAATTCAATAAATCGGGACAAATAATGAAGTACAGCACATGAAACTCCCAATGCTTCATATAAAGAAGAAGAATGTTATAACTATTTCATAATCAACACTCTCATTGTCTCATGGCTTGTGTTGGCAGAACAGCTGATCAGGAAATCAAAACAGCCTCATCAGCCAACTCAGATATTATCAGAGACCAGAAGAGAATCAGACACTGAGATGGGATGTGGAGTGAGCATAGGCATTTCATTTGTGGATTTTAAAACATTAAAACCAATACAAACTATGACTAACCTTGAAGGGTATTTGTTATATTTTCACTGTAACTCAGAATCTTGTGGCTCTTTGTCCCAAGTGGTGACAAAGAATAGGTCACAGAAGTGTCACCACTAAGCCCACTAACTCCACTGCAGTAGGAAGTATAGGGAACTAAGTTGTTCAGCTTTCTCGCGTCAAAGGGTTTTGATTCTTAAAATGTAGTGACCAACAGCTTTCCCATACAGGTTTACCAAGTGATATCACAGGTTCTCATGGCAGCGAGTATGAAGATGGCTGTCTTCAGGGTTGTTGCACTATGTAGTCTAGCATTTCCTATTCCATTTAACATCACAAAACACCCTTTACTCCCCTAATATTTGAATCAGCTTGGTTGTTTGACTGACTGGTTTAGAGTTGGTTCAATGCCAGATATTGTTTGGTACTATTAACACATCAAATTATATTTAAAAACAAAACTCAAAAAATGTAAACCTAACCTAAACTCTGTAACATAATGGTACATTTCCTATTAGAAAGTAATAGTTATATCACCAGAGTATTGCAGTGGACAAAGAGATGTGTCCTTCCCTTTATACCTTATTAATGAGATTTACAGTGAAAGAGCTTTGCCATGAATATCAAAGATGCCTCTTGTGTAGGTAATAGCCAACTCTTTCCTTCCTTCGCTTTCTGTCACTCACAGCTTGCGACCAATTCACCGGTTGGTTTAATTTTCTACCCATGATTGCTATTGAATTTCTGACCCAAGGCAACCTGTAAATATCAAAAGATATGAAAGAAATATCATAAATAATTTTGCAATAAGTGACCACTTTTACCTGTTGGATGAATTTGAGGTTTAATTACATTTGCTAATTCCAAACTGGGTAACTCACCTAACCTGCACCGAACTTCGGATTCCACATACATTTTCTTATTATTAAAATAAACCATTATAACTTACCTCACGCAATTTGTCACCAGATTCTAAAGATGTATCCAGAATCGTTTCAAGCAATGGGAAGAACATGAGAGACTTTATAAAAATTAGGATGTTTTGAGTTTAACACTCCGCAACGCGTAACCTTGCTTATTTAAAAATACATCACATTTTGGTCAACAGGAGCGCTAATAAGGAAGGCAATATAACAGGGATACCAACTTAATGGGCAAATTATATTGAAACAATAAAATTTTGATATTAAAATATGATCATCATTCAGTATCACATAAATGTATATTTTATTGGAAGACTCAGCATGTTGAGATGTTAAGCACAAGTGAAGAGGAGGGCATGACAGACATAAATTTGTACCAATGCAACACGTTTAAAAGTTGCTGTGATGAAGCATCCCATAATCTGAGCTACTGAACAAGACAGTAGGGCAGCTTCATGCGCTGACCACGATATCTCCCTTGAACTGTGCCACCAGCCAGGATAGAATTGTGTTGGGCTTCAAGTACAACTGGAGCATAAAGCTGATTACTCACCTCCATCCAATGCTGAGAAAGGGTGGATGCCAGACACCTTCAAACCATGATTCTTATGCAAAGAGACAATTTTACATTCACCTTTACCTGAATGGAATGGGTCACCAATGTCCATTTAGGTAAAAAGAAAAATGTCATTTTCCCATCATGTATTGAAGTTTTGGACAACACAGATTAGAATATGTTCTTGTATAGGGTTTTGAGCTTACAAATTTATTTCCAGAGCTCGCATTGTACAGAAGAAAATATGACAGTAGAAATGTTATATTAAGGTTATTGAGGGACAGAAGAGTCTCAGAGTTTTAACTCTGTGTATTAGAATGCTGATTGTTTCTTCCTATTATAAACATCTTTTAGCAAAAATCAACATAATACAAAAACAACAAAAGGTTCACTGTTCATCACCTGGAATGTTTGCTGCAGGTTCCACTCATTTCCCTCTGTACATGTGACCATCCAGACCTAAGAAACATAAAACTGTAACACCTCAGTAAATTTAAAATTATATACTAATATTAATATTCAAAATACCTGGTGCATTACTTAGAAACAAAATGCTGTAAATTCAACTTAACACCTTGCAGGTTACTTTCTCTTGATTTCAGAATATCAGTTCATTTATCTGTTCAATGAGATCATTCAAGGTTCTGAACTCATCCTCATCCTTATTCAGGTATTGTACAATGCATCCACCGTGATCCCCTGAAAACTGAAGAGATGATCAATGTTACAATTGACAAGTGGAGTTAAAGCTATCTAAAGATGGCTGACATCAGCCAAAATATGCTGTAAACAATCATTATACTTGTAATATAAACAATGTATTATTAACAACAATGAATAATGTGTTGAGAACATCACACAGTGTTTGTAAGTTGCATGATGTTGATGGACCAAAATATTAGTGTTTAATAATAAACTACAACAGGATGATTCTTTACAATTTATATCTATGTGTTTATTCTTAAAAACTTTTATTTTCTACGCCAGACTTAAGCCTGTCAGCCATTAGTCTATTTACAAGGCGACAGGTGTCAGTCGTTTTTAGCGAACAGGGGGCACCACGAGTAGGTGACTGACTTCACCCCCTTTTTACAAACATCCATGCCTTGAGTGGGACTCAAACCCATGGTCATAGCAGCCAGGTGCACGAGGATCATGCCTCAGACTGCGTGGCTACTGCGGCCAGCATTCTTAAAAACTACCTAGCACCTAATTAGTTTTTAATTCCCACACACAAACCTAACTATAGAGGAAGTTGCTTATCCAACATGTGACAAAGGAACTGAACATCAGGAAGAAAAATACTCCAAATGCATCAACAAGAGACAGGACAGTTAGAATAATTGTACGTGATCAGCAAGAAGGGCACACATTCGATTTGCATATATTACTTCTAATTTTCTTAAAATAAATTGTCCTAGAATTTTATAATCAACACAACCAGGCAAAACCTCATAAAGCCACAATGCAACATACAATTTTATAAACTAGTGCACACATTATTCAAAATCCTTTTAGCTGAAGGTCATTTTTACAATGATTTCAAACAGAAATCACAAGGGCACCGTTTACTAATAATTTATTTAACAATGCCATATCAGAGTTATACAAAATCAAATGTGAACTCAGAACAATGGGGGAGGAGATCCATTTTACAGTTTCTGGATATGGAAATGCCAATTCAGAATTATTAAAGTGTTTTTAACATCAATTGCGTCAAAAGTTGAAATTTACTGTCATTATTGAAAAGAACTTATTGTTACACATACAGTCACAAATACGTTACAGCATATAATATTTTTCACCACAGAATTCACATTGATGTACTACAACCCAAATCAGTTATTAAGACCAGAAAACAATGTGCTTCATGAAAAGTTATGGACTATCATGCACTGTAATCAGGATATGGCACCTTTGCATCATGCATCTTATAAATCTCACTTCCCATGTGAATACAGAAATTATATGGGTGTTTAGAAAAGGTATCAGGCAGAACAATGTCCATTTATGGTATGCAATGGATATTGGAACATTCTACTGATTAAAAGAAAAATAATATCTGGCCTTCCAATGTAAAATTCTGTAATAATTTCAATTCCATGCAAGATATTAAACTTACTCGATGACACACCATAATACAGCACCACAATTCAAGACTGTGATCACAGAAGTTAAATCTTAATATACTTACTTAATACCTAACAGAACAAGTGACTGTATGCATACTCTACACATCTAATATTCTGACGTCTATCCAGCCACAACACAGAACCAAGATTGTCAATGTAAGTTTTTATCTTATTTTAACCTTCAACTATGACTTAATTCAGCCAACTATATTTACTAACACAACATTCTTTGCATAACACAGTAATAAAATATGTAGATTTATATATTTGATATGTTATTGTTTTTTAATCAATTACTTCAATAACAAAGTGGTTTGTGACAATAGCGAGGGACTGTAAGATGGACCAATGAGTTCAAAACATGTCCAATACAGAAATACATATAGTACAATGAGTGAATGACTACAGGAATTTACAAATATTTTTGTGGAGACAGACAATCAATGATTTAGAGCACTCTTCATAAAATCATGATTCATTCCACAACACTTTCTAAAATACTAGGCCCTATTTAAAGGCAAAATTTTTAATTTCCTTTTCTGATTAAAACTGTTGATGCATATGCTGCACATGTATATACTAGTAAAACTGTAAGAGCAAATAAAACTTCATGAGGATATATTCTTTACAGAAAGAACAAAACAGTAACATGAAGTGAACTTATGGATTATGAAGTTAAAGAAAAACTGCAGTGATAATTTTAACATGGAATTAAACATTTAATTTTTAAGTACACAAGACAGAGTATTTCACTAATGACATTCATAATTTTTATTAAATACATTGCTCTTTGCTACAGAAAAGCACAGGAAATCTCTTTTTATATGTTTCAAAATAATAAACACATTGTAAATTAAGAGTAGCTAACAAACAACAAAACATTTATTAAAAGCAGTTAAACAATGTAGGCTCTAATGCCAATGACAATCAGAGAGCCATAACACTGTTTTGATGACACCATAAAGAGTAGGGAACAATTGCTGACAATTCATTGGAAGTCAATTGGAAACTAAGAAAGATATCTGTCACACCTACAAAGAGACATTTATGCAAAACAGATTCTTTGCTCTGTTAGGAAAAGTCATTATGTGGGTCACACTATAATCATAACATTGGGTCAAATTAAGCACTGTTGTATATTAGACCTATCAATTATTCTTTGCTTTTTATATATCATAGACTTTGTAATGTTAAATTATATCTTGTTGGAAGCCAAGATTTAGCTGTAGAACTCACAATAACAAATAGATCCAGAGAGAGAGAGAGATTTGTGTGTGTGTGTGTGTGTGTGTGTGTATGCATGTTTCAAAAGTAGCTTTACAACTTGAGGGCAAGATATTGGTGAACTGATAGGAGAAACATATAATTTCGGAACATAGAAATGTAGTCAAACACTTCAAGTTTTATGTCCATCACATTTTTATGGTTCAATGTTACTTCCATTTGTTATGCGGCAGATGTCCCATCTGTAGTCAATATCTTGCCACAAGCGGTGTTGCATCTCTGGTGTCACTTCAGCAACTGCAGCGGTAATTCGAGTTCAGAGTTCGGCCACATTTGCAGGTAAGGGTGGCACGTACACTCGATCTTTAACAAATCCCCACAAGAAAGAAAAAATCTAAAGGTGTTAGATCCGGGGAACGAGGTGGCCAAGCTATTGGTGCGGCCCGACCAATCCACCGACCTGGGAAACGGTTGTTGAGGTACTCCTGCACTTCTCTGAGGTAATGAGGGGGTGAACCATCTTGCTGGAAGTGAATGCATCCTTCTTGGTCATCTTCATCAAGTTGAGCAAAGAGGAACTGCTGGAGCATGTCAAGGTACACAATGCCAGTAATGGTCTTCTCCATGAAAAAGAAGGGGCCGTACACTTTATCTTTGCTGAGGGCGCAAAACACATTAACTTTTGGACTGTCACGAACATGTTCCAGGAAGGCAAGTGGTTTTTCACTACACCAAATCCTGCAGTTGTGGGTGTTGACCTTACCAGTGACATGGAACATGCTTTCGTCACTGAAAATTACTGAGTCCAGAAATCCTTCGTCGTCTTCAACCCGCCGCAACATTTCCATACAAAATTCCTTACGAGCCAGTTTATCATCATCTGAAATGGCTTGCACCATGGATAATCTGTACGCTCTTAAGTGTAAACGTCATCATAACACTCGCCACACAGTCAATGTGGAATCCCACTTTCCTGAGATGCACGTCTCGCTGACTTACGTAGACTTCGAGCGAAGCTCTCCCTAATCTGTTCCACGGCATCTTCAGAAACACATGGCCTACCGGCTTTCTTGGTATGGCACATGAAACTTGATGTGTTTGGCTAAATTTGTGAATTTAAAAATATTGTGCATGTCTTTTAAATAAATTTATATTCTCCTGCGAATTTGTACAGCTACTTTTGAAACACGGTGTACATGTACGTACGAGGGTGAGTCAAATGAAAACCGTAAAACTGAGATCAAAATTCGAAATATCGCGCCATTGTCCTGTAAGTTGGCAGACATGTTACCAATGCTATAAAGAGTATCCTATAGGTGGTTGTATAATGCAGACAAACATAACGCCATCACAGTGCCAGTTTGAAGATGGCTGCTCCACTAGTTATACGGACGAAAGAAGAACAACGTTCTGTAATTCGTTTTTTGATCAGTGAAGAATCTTGAAGAATCATCTTCAACCTGCAGTCAGATCAAAGCGACGTGGACTTTTGACTAGAGGTGTCCTTTTGCAACATGACAATGCTCGGCCCCATACTGCCCGTGCAACAGTTGCAACAATCCAAGACTTGCAATTTGAGTGTCTTCCACATCCGCCATACTCATCAGACCTAGCCCCAAGTGACTACCACATGTTTGGGCCACTCAAAGAGGCGATGGGAGGAAAGAAGTTCAGTTCTGATGAAGAGGTAAGGCAGACGGTGCATGAGTGGTTGCGCAGACAACCACAAGAATTTTTGCTAGAGTAATATATACACTTCCCAAATTCTGGAGGGCCTGTATTGAACGAAATGGAGACTATGTAGAAAAATGATATGGTTGTGTACCGCTTTCACTCAATAAATTAAATTTAAATTTTTTTTACGGTTTTCATTTGACTCACCCTCGTAAACTACATCGTATATCAGATGTACACCAAATGCAATCAATTTATAATAGATCCTGGTCATATTTATTAAATGTTTTACAAACTCACGTTTAGGAAATTCTTAGTTCACACCATAAAAGCTGAATTTTCTAAGTTAGAGAAGTCTGTCATGAATATAAATGTTATATCCCATTCCTAGTCATCTTCTATGTTCATGAATATTACATAAGTTCAAACTGACTTGCCAAGACTGCAAACACCGACATTACCTTGGGGATGGTGCATGCAGGCATGCTCCTTCCATTCCCAAGTTACTGGGTTGTAGCGATGTACCGCTTTAAAATATTCCTTCCCATCGAAACTTCCAATCACGTATATGAGATTATCCAAGGCACTCAGGCCATGATAAGCTCGGGGTGCGGCATAAATATCATCAGAGAAGAACCATCATCTGTTTGCCCTAAAAACAAAGGTCAAATGACTAACATTAATAACAAAGTGTTTCTTATGGCCAAATTCACAATATGTGATATCAGTCTACAAAATATATAAAATCAGAGTTATCACACAGCACGAAAGCATTTGTTAGAGAGACAGCATTGGTCAGTCAGTACAGTGTCTGAATATGGACTCACAATCAGGGTTTGATACCTGGCAGAAGCAAATGACCTCTTCTAGCCTTGTGTGCAGATTGGTTCTTTGACTCACCCAACCTCCTATCCAGGGGTACACCCTGGTGACCACTGACCTCCATCTAGAGCAGAGGTCAAGAATGAGTTGCAGTTATACCTCTTCCCCCTGCCCCCAGCACCAACATGGTACATAGAATCACAGCTTTACTTTACCCACCTTGTGTCGAAAGTCTCCATTACATTCATGGACCGACCAAGACTGCAGCCACCAACAACAAAGAGGATTTCACAGGGCACATGAGGGCGAGTAAGAGGATTATTCAGATCCAGATCGCGGTGAGTATGAACATTTCTGTCTTCTGGGTTGTTGCGCTGTGTAGTCTGGTCGATGTTAACCAACGTTTCAGAGGTCTTACTGCCTCTGCCCTGATGATGGAGGCAGTATGACCTCTGAAACGTTGGTAAACATTGACCAGACTACACAGCGCAACAACCCAGAAGACAGAAATGTACTTACTCACCGCTGTGAAAACTTCAAATCTTACATAATAATTTTCTACTTCAGTTGTCTAGAAATGGCATCATATGATTTCTGGTCATTACCAAACTACCTCTTCTGTGTACTGATGGCAGTGACATTGCAGTCTGTGGCATGGGTCTTGACCACATGGACACTGCGTTCAATGATTTTAATCCTACTGGAGGCATGGGTGTTTGTCCTGTAAACTGCTGGCCAACCACTCATCCAAGAAGTCCCGTCAAATTATGAGAAACGATTCTGAAACCTAACATAAGGTGGTGGCAAAGGTTCCTCAAGAAACAAGTACTATAGAAGTAATAAAAGATTGAAGATTCCTGTCTTCTGGGTTGTTGCGCTGTGTAGTCTGGTTGATGTTAGCCAACGTTTCAGAGGTCACACTGCCTCCATCATCAGGGCGATGAATGTGCCAGTGGGGTGTGTGGTTGGTGTAAAGACTTACAGATCTCTGGGTTTGCCCTCCTCTTTGCCCAGTTGTTACCATGGCACATAGCAGAACCCCTTGACTTAGTAATCTTTATTGGGTCAATACTGGTAATACATAAAACTGGAAATCATAATGGAATATTGTAGATACCAGTGAATAAAACTGCACCAACATAACTGCTATAAAATGGCTCTGATTAATCAGAGTTCAATTGGAGAGGGTATAATCACAAGTGACGACCCAAAAGTAGGGCACTTCATCCACATACACCAAAGAAATGTATCAATCAGCAACAAACAAACTTCGCCAAATTATCTTTATCAGATGAACAAGAAATTGCAGTAAGAATTAAAATTAACTTATAACCTATAATAATCTTACTTGCAGAAATTAATTTATAGCAAATATGAACTAAAACAAGGAAGGTTAAAAGAATCAGGCCAGTGACACACAAACAGTTAATTTAGGAGGGCATTTAAACACAAATTACTTACCTTATGCACATTTATGCAGCTGCTCTCATCTAAAACTTCTTAGCACATTACAGCAAACACCGGTCAATGACTGACAATAGAAGATGGATTACCAAACCACAGATCGTATATCAATTGTGAAGCGCTAATCTTTCCATCTATGAACAATGTAAAAATAACATAATGATGTATATATACCGGTAGATGGACGAGGTCTATGACAGACTCATCAAACCTAAAACTAAGGCATGCTGTTCGTGTTTCGTTCATATGGTTGTGCATAAAAAGCATTTCTTAGCTGTCTGTTAGTGACTATATTGTTTAATTGTTCACATGATTATATGCGTTGGTGGGGGGGGGGGGCAATATTTTTTGGTTTTCATTACTGCTTGAAACATTACCATAAGATGTGAACTGCCAAGGAGAAAATGTTAGATAGACATGGTCCCACAAGTAAAAGAATAGGACTTCTTTCAAAAATGACTTTCACTATATTAGTTCCATAATTACACATGTTCATAATATTTAAATTGTGAACGCATGTGTAAAATGTAAGTCAACATTAGAATGGAAGACCAAATACAAAATTTCTCAGACTCCTGCAATCTATATTACTCCCTCAGAATGAGAGACCACATTTTGCACCCATACAGAGCAACGGGCAAAATTATTGTTTTGTATATATTAATCTTTAGTTTCTTAGAAACCAGAAGACAAAATATTTTGGACTAAAAAGTGTCATTCATTTCCAGAATATAGTCACCTCCTGATTTCCTCATAAGTATCATTTCGATTTATTATTGTTGCTCCCAAATATTTAAACTTTGTCACGCTTTTAAAGGAATGGAATCAAAGAGCAGAATAAAACCACTTCTTATATCTTTTTCTTTTACACTGACTGTGAAAATGCTCCTGTACTGTCTATAACATAATCTTGTGTCATTTGTTACATTTTGCCTCTCATTTATCTTTCCGGCATCAAAAGAAAACAATAAAATATGCAGGTCTGTTATTTCTTCTACCTCATTTAGGGATTTCCTTTTTGTTCCACTCTGTTCGTTTCTTTGTGCCACGAAAATGACAGGGATTTCTAAATTTACTTCCACTGATGGAACAATCTGAATGACACTAATATGTGAGAAGTATATATAAAACAAATCACAAAACAATTTCATACATACACGTCATGTAACAAGATATTAATAACCAGTAAAACTATTTTACATCTCACCTCAGCACTGGTTTTTGTCTACTAGAACGTCTAAGAATATAAGTTAATTTCAAGTCATGATGCTTTTCCATGTTCTTTGAGGTCTGGTCATTGAGAAACACTGAACAATAACACTTTCATAATTTACTACACATAACCAATAAAGAACCGGGTTCACTAGGAAGGCAGTCTAGCTAAGTATTAGTACTGAAATGGCAGCATGAATCACTGAACTTTCAGTACAAGAAGAACTGTAATGAGCGCTGTTCTATATTATCACTCAAGTACCCGTGCCAAAATCAAATGATGGAAGAAATTAACTCATAATGTCCTATAGTGAGCCTGACTTGTAAGCACATTGAAGTGAGGCAGCACTGACTTGGCCTCTTTCAAAAGTTTATGGTGATCACCGAAATTTGGTAGCCAGGAATTGCAAACATTAGTACACATGTGGTTAATGGTGTTATGATGGTGTATTTAGAATTGGACCTTCTGTGCTGAAAATTAATGACTGAGAATCTTCTTTAAAAGACTTGGCATTAAATTTTCTATATCAATTTGTTTAAAGTAACATCTACAGTGATGAAAACTCACACTTTTTTGTTGTACACAAAATTTAATAAAATTAATTTCTAAAATAATTTTTATTAATTCAGCATCTTCCTTGACAGTAGCATTTACAAGGATGGATTGACTTTAAAACATATCTACATTTAGACTCACTTTTAGAAAAAATACCTCTATAAACAAATAACAAAAAGAGCAGACAATATAAATGAAAAAATTTACAACATTTCAGTACTCTTCTCATTTTGACTCTACTTTAACAAATTTAATATTAGAAAAACAATATAAAGAGCCAAAATACTACAATCGCAATTGCAACAAATGGACAAATATAAAGCACAACAAATAAAGTGGGGGCTTTATTACACTTCACCCCACATGGATTAAATTTAACAAGTCAATAAAATAAACTAATTCAATTTTTTTCAAAATTGGTGCCACTGTCAAATGATATTTATCCATAAGGAATGAAAGACCGTTTTTCATAACTATTTTCAACAAAATATCTTCAACTTCATTTTCAAGCACGACAGTTTTATGGGCTTCTGTCATTGCATTTTTCAAGCCACCTTCCTTGATTCCAGTAAATTTAACCTTTTGAAAACCTCAAACATAAAACCATTGTATTAAAAATTCTGAAACGCAGTGCTACAAAATACACACTTCTATAGCATGCTGACCAGTCTTCAAGGACTCAAATGACTGTAAACTGAAGGCACTTATTAAAGTCCTACAACAGTAGATTGTAGCAAAATACAACATCCCTTGCTGCTGCATGTAACATACTAAAACATAATGCCAAGAAGAGAATTTTATTAATGCCAGGGTACAGTGGATTTATATAGAACAGCAAAGGGTTAATGTTTCAGAATTAGGCTTCATAAGACAATTCAACTTGCCTTATTAAAATGATGAACTGCATCTCAAAAAACAAGTTATTTTGTGCCAGAAGACATCGTCATCCACTGATATCTGACAGTGAAGTGAAATCATATTTTTCTCCTGCTTCCCACATTTAAATATTATGGAATGTGTATATTTTGCAATGTATCAATAACAAAGAAAGCAATATATGACATATTGTGATTAAAATGAGTACACCGCTGGGAATACCGTAGCAGTATGAATGCCACTGTTACAAACCAAGTTGGCAGCCCTTCAAAAGAGATGGCATAATCATGAACTTTTTCTACAGCAGTAAAATGAACTTCACACCAATAAAAATACTGCGTATTATTTTAGTCCACTGAACTCCACTGTTTTTGTAAAATAAAGAGATAGTGAATTCCCTGCAGTCTGCATTTTGTGTAAGCATGATTCGTAGGGACCCAAATTCTTAACTGGCATTCTAAGCGTTCGCAAAATAGAAGCTAACAGGGAAATGCGAAAGATAATAAAAATATATAGTCACTTCAATAATAATCTGTCACAGTTGCAAAGCTTTATTATAATGGAAACCATCGACACCTTAAAAATCTGTATTCTATTACAACATAAATCACTCTCAACAACACACTTCCAAACACGACCGCCATTCACAGAAAACCACAGAATATACTAACTTATCTCTGGAATCAACTGCAAAAGCTACCAACCCTTGCGAATTCAAGTTTCCCTTCATTATGACAGAGTGCTGCCACCATGCTGATTTTAGCCGTATCATGTCAAGCTCCTGTCACCCAAAGTGGGAAAATCTGGTAAAATGAATCCTCAGTGTCTGTAGCCAGTCCGATCTCTGTTGGGATATCAGCAAATGTAATGACTGATCACAAATCCTGCAGAATCTTTAAGCTGACTTCTGTAACATGTATATTGCATGAGTCTGGTGTCAAAGAACATGTCGGTACTCCTTATCCTCCACTTTTCAAGTGTGATACCACCTGGCCTTGGTTTCATGAACACCAGGTGAAGCTAATTCTTAATCATCTCCCTCTTTTCATTCACACATGGCTAAATCAGATCCAGGATGTTACAGTGTATGCAATAAAAGAAGTTGACAAATCAAATATCCATTTTAATAAATCTTTTAGATGCACCAAGGGCCCTTCTATACTCTTTACATGTAAACAAACAATATATTGTAACGTGGGACGGTATACGACCTTGATTGTCAACGCCTGTGCTGATGCGGTGGAGCACTCAGTCCGTTCGCCCATAACCATTGTTTTCTGTCACAAAGACATCCTGAAAGTCGAGGACCAATGCCTTCAACTCCCTGGCTTCCATTGTCGTCAGGTTCAGGATAGCATCGGCGACCATGCCCTGCAGTGGCTTGCACAGCTCTATTCTGCGACGGAGGTTCTGTATTGCCAGCCGGGCCCGCCCACGTGACCGGTTCACACAGGCCCAGGGTTGTGCCTTCCGCCAGCACTTGGTCGCCGTCCCCGACATTCACAATTCTCGTAGCTGTTTCTGGCTGGCATCCATCTTGTCTTCAAGATTGTCCTGAAGCTGTTGCTGGATGCACGTAAACTGGTCTCGTAGCTGTTTCTGGCTGGCATCCATCTTGTCTTCAAGATTGTCCTGAAGCTGTTGCTGGATGCACGTAAACTGGTCTCGTAGCTGTTTCTGGCTGGCATCCATCTTGTCTTCAAGATTGTCCTGAAGCTGTTGCTGGATGCACGTAAACTGGTCTCGTAGCTGTTTCTGGCTGGCATCCATCTTGTCTTCAAGATTGTCCTGCAGATGTTGCTGGTCGTTGCTCAGCCTCTGCAATCTTCCCAGTATTTCTTGCAGTGCACACTCCATTGTTGACCATCCCACTTCTGACACCAGTGTAACGTGGGACGGTATACGACCTTGATTGTCAACCCTTGATTTCTTCTGGGGTCTGCTACCTCAAATCCGATCCGATTGTAAACTTGGTTGGATTGTAAGAGACCACGATGTCCTCCAGCAATAATGAATTTAATCAAACTAAAACGTCTCTTACAGCACAAAATAATCTCGTCTACAACACACTTCACCTAAGAGCGATTCACACTTCAGCTCTCTTCGCACTCTCCTTCCACACTCTCACCTCCTACACTGCTCTCAAAGCCGATTGTCAATCGGCTTTTAAACAGACGCAACAATGTAAACACAACAATGCTAAACGCAACAATGTCTATAAACAAACAACAATGCCAATAAAGAGACACAACAATGCCTATAAACGAGTATAACAATGCCAACTGCAACACGTCACACTATTGCTAAAATTTCAGGAGCAATTTACTCAAGTAAAAACTATAACAGCACTAATTTTTTACATGAAAATGATAATGCTGTATATACTACAGAATGAAGAATTTGATCCTGATTAATCCATCACTCCTAATTGAGCTTAGTTATTAATGCATATCTGTCACTACACATATGCAACACACAGATAAATATGCTTTTGTTCTCTCTCATATATTACTGAACAGAGGACCCCCCCCTCCCCTCAGGATAATTCCAGACAATTAACTTAAAAAACAATCAGTGTACTATACGATATGAACAACATGAATGTAACATTGTGGACAGTTTTCGATCACCAGTAAAATAACAAACAAAATACTGGGCCATTATTGCAGTGTGCCAACTGAATAATGCCAATACTGTATGTGACTTTAAATGGGGCAGCAGTTTTTCACAAAACTTTACAGAATGAAAGTTGTAATTTAGCAAACAGAAAGTCCCTTGGAACATATCTGCAACTATTTTACAAAATAAATAAAGCATTCACTATTTTTAATAAGATCAAGATTTTGAACATCACAGAATTATGTTCAACAGAATATAATGCTGAGCAAAAGATGCAGAAAACCCCAAAAACGGAAAATATTTTGCAGCTGTGATATATACCATAACCTTTCTTTTGCATGTGATACTGCATTGGCCACTGACAGTAACTCCAAATAAGCAATCATAAAAAGAAAGAGTGCTATTATATTCCTTTGCAATATTCATGCTTGACTCACTGATGGATACAGATAAGCTCAAAGAATAAATACAACGTGTCACAGAAAAATCATAAGAACAGTCCTTGGTGTTCATGTTCCCCACAGAAACAGTTCTTAATCAAGAACTGACATTAGAGCAACAAAATGTCAGTATCAAGTATTAACTGAAGAAAAGAATGGCATTACCATTCACCTTGTAAAGCTCATATGGGTCTTGCAGAATAAAACAGGTGTATCAAAAAGGACCATGAAACCTGCTACAAGATCACTGAAACTACTTAGGGTTTGAGGTTTTCATGGCAGTGAGTCTGAAGATGGCTGTCTTCTGGGTTGTGATAAACCTCTATAAATTCCAAAATGAACTTTCGTTCGTCATCTTTCACTTTAGACGACATCATGTTCAGCGCGCACCGAAGTTCGCGCCACTACGTCTGGGACAGAACTGAACGATATTGCGCAATACTGCCTACAGATGATGCAACCTTTTCCACATTGTGCAATAAATATCAAACCATTTTTGATTGACACAATATATTGCACAACCTTTCAATTCGTAACATAGACGATCAATATTATTGTACAAAACTGAATATTGCACAATAATATTGACAGTGTAGGGGTCGCTTAATTCCTTATTTTTACAGTTCACGTGTAAACAAGAGACACACATTATTCTAACACTTGTTGAAAGTTATTTTACGCCTAGAATCACTGGTCCTATGATCTGGTAGGTTTCATTATAAATATAAGTAAAATAAACTTTCGACAGAACTTTTCTTAAAAAAAGTATCACAACAATAACACAAGTCAAATAACGTAGATGGTCATGTAAACTGCTACCGTGCATTAAAGTAGTTCTGTGTATATTTTAAACATTTGTTTACCATGTTAACACGTCTGAATACAAACCACTTAACCTTGATGATTGATTTCATTTCTATTTCTATTCTTTTTAATTTTGGATAAATTTAATATATATAAAATGTTTGTGTGCTACTGATGGTTGATTAAATTTTTAAAACATCCAGTATAAATTTTATTTGACATTAACATTTATTAGTCTCCTGATATCAGTTTTGAATTTTGGACATGATTCTCTGGTAGTATGTTCACTTCTAAATATGTTTGAACATCTCAACATTCTCCACATTCCTTTAAATTATATTACTACCCCCCCATCTTTCCCAACCCCTAGTTTATGTTTTATTTGCCCTCACATTTTATTACTGACCTTCCTGATTTCTCTTTAGACATCCTTAAATATTACCCGATCTTTTCAGTTTGTCAAATTCGTGATTTACTGCTATCCTCCCAATTCCTATTTAGGGCCCACATTGCAGTATGAGGCTCTAGCCTTTACTTTGTTACACATAGGATACATCCTGTGTTCCATATTCCCCTCGGCATCCTCAAATTTCCAGAAGATCACTTTCGATCATTTGCATGTCTTCTAGCCCCCTGAGTACATGCTTGTATGTATACTTTCTTTTCCCAACTACTCTGCAATTCATTGCAAAATACCAGTGACCTGTTCTCTTTCTTACTAGCTCCCACTTTCTGTCTCTCAATAAGCACATACTTTTTGTTTACACAAAACGTTACTTAAAATGTAATGTGGCCAGGCCATGGATTTACAAGATGAAATTCTTATATCCAATCCATGAAGATACAGCACTACAAATCTAAGCCAACACACAGATAAACTATTGACCTTATTATTTGGGAATAAGGGATTTGACCCCCCCCCCCCAATACGACATGACTGTGGGCCAAGAATTGACTCTGGTGTTTAATAATTTAGTGGCACGCTACTCTGACACATGGATGGTTGGATCAAATATATTCCATAACACACGGCTGATGAAGGTTAATAATTCTTAATTAAGACACATACAGTGCTACTCCCCATCTTTGATTTATAGGATAGTTTGTTAGTTAGCATACAAGTTTGATATTCAAAGGTATTTTGGTATTCAAAGGGTTCGTGGTACAATCCTAATTGCTGCCACCAGTATCTAAAATGAGAACAATTCCCAGTCAACACAAGAAATGAGGAGGGAGCGGCGGCACTCTATCTCTCACTCACTCGCACGCACACACACACACACACACACACACAAATGCTTCTTCCCAGCGCCACCAAACCATCTGCATATGCGAGTATCTGACAGGTGTCCTCCAGGGTTTGTTTTGATTGCTCTAATGACCTTTTCTAGACAAATGTTAAATAGCTGTGTAGACAGAGAGTCGCCCTGTCATAAGCCCGCCACTGTTTTAAAGCTGTCAGAAACCCTACCTTGTATTTTCACCTTATTGCAAGTATCTGTCAGTGTCATTTTCACCAATCTTACTAACTTTGTAGGAAATCCAAATTCTCTCATTATTTCTATTAGTTGGTTTCTATCTATGCTATCGTAGGCCTGTTTGAAGTCAATATATAGTTGATGCACTTCGATGTTTCGTTCGCATGTCTTCTCCAGTGTAGTTCTAAGGCAGTGAATCTGATCAACTGTTGATCGGTTTTTCCTAAAACCACACTGGTAGTCTCCTAAACAATCTTCAACTTGAAGCTCCTGATAGAGAAATCATTTAATATTCATCATTCACTCTTTACATTTATGATTGAATGTAACCAAATTATAAGATCTTATCTTTGTATTTTTTCCAACTACCAACAATGTGTAAATATGGACCAACAATGGTCAGCTTTCATATGAACACCTGCGTGTATTACAATGCAAGAAAAAGCATTGGAATTTCCAACCCACGCCTGCAACAATCTTGGTTGAGCTTGCCATAAGGCTCTTTTATCGTTTATTATACACGCAGTATAATAGCCTGAATGAACCGTATTGCACTCCATTCCCCCTACCTAAGAAGCTAATTGTTACGTCATGTGTTCACTCCGCATTGTTGTATTGGTATATATTGCCGTCAACAATCCGCTTTCGTCATTGTGGAAAGAGCTCTGCTGTGAATCGGTTGTAGAAAAAGTGCCTCGTAGACTAGATAATTTTGTGCTGTTAAAAACGTTTTAGAATATCACAAGTACTTATCGTATATAAGAATTATTAAGCCTTCTACTCTCTCCATTGATAAGTGCTGGTGGACATCGTGGTCTCTTATTACTGAACAAAGTTTGAGGTAAGGGATTCCTATTTATTATTATTATTATTATT